GCCCACAGCCTGGATCATTTTAAATCGCTTCTTAAAACTCATTTTTATTCTTTGGCATTTAATTGATGTATTGTTTTTGCTCTGTTTTGTCATTTGTGTTGTTCTTGTACAGCACTTTGGTACAGCTTTATGCATGTTGTAAAGTGCTATATAAATAAATTTGACATTGACATTTGACAAAAGCTCAGTTACATCATTGTAGAGATAACCAACACAAAGAGAGAAAAAATGAAAAAAAAAACAAAAAAAACAAGGGGACTTTGAGCCCCTCCTGCATTCACTACATACACATGACACGACTCCTACGAACCACAGCATCCAAACCAATAAGTCAGGTGATGGGGCACATGACTCTCTATGAACAATAGAGCCATTCAAGCCTATTGTTAAGCGATGGCACTCTTTTGCATGTGACTAACCTGTTTGTCCATGTGGAGGCAGTGCTTTTAAGGCTAAGTTCACCTGAAACTCATCAGACTGAAGAAGTCTCTTGGAGGAGAGACGAAACGTTTCACTAAAGAACTCATTCAGAGGACAAACTTATTTTTTCTTTTAGATTTTTTTCTACCTGGATTACTGAGATGCATCAGGACATTGTAGAGAATACTCAGCATAAAGAGAATTTCACTCACGTTTATCATTTAAATGTTTTTTGTGCAACTTGGAAGTCTAATAGAACCAGAATGTCCCTGCATTGAGACTACTGGTAACTTTATTGGCAAACGGCATTTTCAAGGAAGTCTCCAAATAATTTTAAAACTTTCATGGGGCTCTAAGTTTTGTTCGCAGAGGTTCAAAAATGGATCACTTAAATTTTAAACATGTTCAAAATATTTGCTGACCCTCTTTCTGAGTATGAGGAGGTCTTATAAGATGCCTCTTTCCTGTCTGATCTTGGTCACCAGTCTGAGGGGTCGGTAAATGAACTGTATTTATATAGAGCCTTTCTATCTAACCAGGATGCTCAAAGCACTTTACAACACAATCTGCCCTCATTTACCCATTATTTCAGCAGTCTCTACAATATCTCTACAGAGCTCATTTGGATAAACCATTCTATAGAAACGAATCAGTGCTTTAGACCGCAGTCACACACCAATGGGACACACCCACTAAACATTAGACGTCGAACGGACGTGCAGATCAGGTCTATATTGAGTCCGCCCGTCGACGACCAATTCTGGCCGTCGGACCAACGTCTAAATGAGGTCCACTATTTGGACGTCTAAATGTGACCTCATTYAGACGTCAATATTGAGTGCAATATTTCAACGTCAGACCAGCTTTTTTTTTTGGACGTCATACAGACATCCAAAATGGGTACAGATTTTTTTATATTATAAATGTTCGATTATATTTGTTTATTGAGAATGTTGTT